CAACACCCAGAAGAAATCCTCATCTTTTTTTTTTTCTAAACGTTTCTTTTTTTTAAAGCATGACCATCTCCATGCATGGCAGCATAAAGTATGATGCTGGTTTTAACTGGTCATTGTCGTCATTTTTCACTGGCACCTTCTGTGAAAAATCAAAGGATGATCACAGAGGAAGGAATTCCACTCAGCAGGCCCTGACATTTCCCCAATATCATAGTTGATATCATGTCATTTTACTCTTTTCCATCAGCTCTGAAGTTTTTACAGCATGTTTGGGTCAGTCCACTTTCAATCACAGGTGACACAAAGTCCCGGATTTGCATTGGCTCTCATGGCTTTGACCTCAGAGTGATAAATGACCACGAAACTGATGACTCTGGACTAATGGATGCAGCCACAAGGGCTGGAGAAACTTTATACGGGCACAATAAATAAGGCCCCGAAGGCCGTCTGGTCTGCTAACGGTAACCAACCCCGACAAAATGCTAGCATGAAATAGAAAGAGCTTTTTTATAAAAACCACACAGCAACCAGAGCTCTGCGACTCCAATAAGAAGTGACAGAAATTCACAGAGCAATTAGAGCCCGTTCAGATCTCAAAGAGCAGCATTGTTTCCTCTCTCAGAGATATCCGAGCCAAACTAACTAACTAACTAACTAACCAACTAACTAACTAACTAACCAACTCTTTAACAGGTGGATCTGTTAGTTCTTCAGAAAAAAGCTGTCCAAATACAGTGGGGGAAATAAGTATTTGACCCCTTGCTGATTTTGCAGGTTTCCCACTTACAAAGAATGCTTATTTTTCCTCATCAGATGGTTATCAATTTTTATAAATTCATATGATGTGATTATCTGGAATTTTCTTTGGGATTCTGTCTCTCACTGTTAGAATGTACATATGATTAAAATTATAGATCGTTGCATTCTTTGTAAGTGGGCAAACCTGCAAAATCAGCAAGGGGTCAAATACTTATTTCCCCCACTGTCACTACCTGTCTATGGTTTTATGAAGATCCTGGGTTTTCCTGTTCTATGCGCCAACGATTTGTAGAATAAGAGACATGCTGTGGTTAAACTAAACTCAACAGCGCCCTCTGGAGGACACATCTGGGATATACCGAGAGCTTTAGCTTTTTTCATACGGAGTCAAACCCCTGTAGCATGACAATCCCCTCCTGTTGTTTCTGGATGATGAAGACAAACATGAAGGAGATGATGAAGCTGCTTACAGTGCGTGAGGCAAAGGAAAAGCCACGGGGGATTTTATTCAATATCTTTTCCTTTAAAAGAAGCATCTGTATTCCGGTTTGGGCTCAGCCCTTTCGTACCAAACCCGACTGGGTCGTACCAAAATATTTAAGTTTCCAGACAGCTAAAGCTGCCCTTTCTACAACAACTGTAAGATAAGCTCTCCCGCTGGCAGCCGTAATGATTGAAACGGCTATTGGATTCATAAAGCGTGACTCAGCTTGCTCTACCTTTCCCTCAAATTAGGACATCGCTATTGTGACCGTCTGCTGTACAAACCCAGTCAATTTCTCACATGGTCGAGCCTCTGCCAGACTCCTCCATCTTCTTTTATTAAAACGTGTATCCAAGTTTATTTCCAGGGCTTCTTTTCCTGA